CTATGTGACAATGTCAGGTACAAGTAATGGACAGGAGTGGAAAAAGCAGTCAATGTCCACAGAAGACCTGTATAAAGAGATAAGGGGTGGCTCAAGACTTTTGCACCTGTTGTCTCGTGTAAATAGAAACCTCAGTCCAGCTGTGAGCAAACAGCTATGCTGCACACAAAGAAGTCAAACATCACCACTGATTATCTGCAGGTACAAATTTATTCACATGATCTCAGACAGTTGTACAGCTCAATGATTGGTTCACAGCTCAGCTGTGTCCTTGCAGGGGGCGCCATCCATACAACCTCTGTGACCGCTGAGCGCCAGCACATTCAGGTAAAATGGACCCAGCTGGACACTTTATTCTCCAACCAATCAGAACATGCAGAAACCTTCACATCAGGAAGTATCGACTCCAGCTGACGGAGGAGGCGGGGTCTGTTGTTATATCACAGAACCAAGGTTATAGAGCCGGGGTGGGGAACTCCAGGCCTCAGGGTCCGGTGTCCTGCAGGTTTTAGCTCTCACCCTGGGTAAACACACCTGAATCATATGATAAGTTCATTAACAGGCCTCTGGAGAACGTATGGTTATGGTGTAACCTTGGTTCTATTAGTGAGAGACAGGAAAAGACCCAGGGAAACCATTACATATGTAACGGTGTGGAGAGTCTCGATATGCTAGGGAACTTCAGGGCACGTTGAGGAGGTCATTTAGCCATTTGAATCAGCTGACACATCTAAAACCTGCAGGACAGCAGCCCTGGAGGTCTGGAGTTGGACAGCCTTGGTTTAAAGTGAGATGCAAAGCTACTGGCACATTGCAGACAGGTGGTGTTACACAGCAGCAGGTTAGAGAAGTCACCTGACCCAGAGACTGAGGCCATTCAGCTGGTCTCGCCTGTCCCAGGGTCAGGTGATCAGCACGTTCTCACGCCCCGAATCACATCTTGCTAAAGCGAAACTATCTCACGACAGACTGAGCTGCAGCGACAGTGTAACACAAACAGTATTTAAAGTAACATTTGGATCACCACCTGAAATCACCGACATTACAACAATAAAAACACAGAAAAACTCCACATTTATTACAGGAACATAAATGTGCAGAGGCTCCATCAAACACAGACATGTGACGTGTTCTGAGCATGAGCAGACTCATCTGGTTTCTGCACATGCTCAGAACACGTTCAGGTCATGTTCATGTCATGAGGCGAAGGAGCTGCAGCATCGGAGGCCTCATTAAACCGAAGCACAGAAGGAATGATGTGCAAACACGTCAGCCAGGTATCAGGGTGAAAACAATCCGCCTCAGGCTCCGCCCCCAAACCACATTAGCCATATGTCTGTGAAGGTTCTCAGTCATCCAGGTCATCGTAGTCAAAGGAGCTTGCAAAGAAAAGCGTCTGGACTTCTTTAAGTTACTTGAAGACGTTTCACCTCTCATTCGAGAAGCTTCTTCAGTTTTAAGGTCAAATGGTGGAGAGTCCCAGATATAAACCTAGTGGGAGTGACCCCCACAGAGGGACAAAAGGACCCCCTGATGATCCTCTAATCGCCTGAGCCAAGGTGTGAAACTGGGTGTGGGTCCCAATCAGCCAGAGTTTCGGGTGAGCTCATTGTGAAACCTGGCCCCACCTGTGAAAGGATAAGACAGGTCCATTTCACTATAGATGCCCTCCAGATCGAGATCAGCCAGACTCTGCAGGAACCGGAAATCCTTCTACCCTCTCCAATCTTAGAAAAGGTTTACAAGTTTGTGGACAAGGCTCAACAGGCCAACACTCTAAAGGAAAAGAAAGACAACGCAGGAAATTTCACACCTTGCTTTCAAAAACACACACACTCCTCATTCTGAACCTACACAACCCAGAGAAGAAAACACACCTGAAGACAGTCAGGAGAAATGGGTAAGGAACTTTTCAGACCGGAATCTCACTGAACCTTAAGAGAGAGTATTAGCCAAAGGACTCTATTTTGCCATTTCTCCACAACAGTTGCCCATAGTGGACCTCATCACAGCCACAGAATCTGCCATATGGATTAATACATTATCACAGACAGAAGCAGAGCAAATCAGGATGAAAGTCTCAGCCACGCTCTCCAGTGCCAAAGTCCCTCCATCCAACCTCACAATACAGGAAAAGAAGGCCGTCGCTTCCCTGAGCAAAGACCACAACATCACTGTTTTACCAGCTGATAAGGGAAGATGCACCGTGGTCCTAAACACTACAGATTACCACACAAAGATCACTACTCTCCTCAGTGACAACAATATCTATGAAGCCTTAAAGCGAGACCCCACAAGCAGCTACAAAAAGAAAGTTATAGCTTGCCTTCAAGACTTTGAAAAGGACAAAATCATTGACCGCCTTACATATCACTGCCTTTACCCAGGGGATGCCATACCCTGCATTTACGGACTTCCTAAGATCCACAAGGAAGCTGTCCCACTCAGACCCATAGTCAGTAGCATAAACTCAGCCACTTATAACATTGCTAAACACCTTGCTACCCTCCTTGCTCCTCTCGTGGGGAACACCCCACACCACATCAAGAACTCCACGACTTCACCAACAAGGTCCAGAAACTTACCCTGGATCCAGATGAAACCATGGTGTCGTTTGATGTAGTCTCTCTCTTCACTTGCATACGCACCACGGAGGCCGTGGAGACTGTCAGAAAACGACTACAAGAAGACAGCTCCTTGGAGGACAGGACCAACTTCACACCCGATCAGACCTGCACACTGTTAGACCTCTGCCTCACCACTACATATTTCAAGTACAACGAAGGCTTTTACAGACAAAAACATGGCTGTGCCATGGGCTCCCCCGTGTCACCTATTGTAGCAACCTTTACATGGAGGAAGTGGAAAGGAAGGCTCTTGGCTCTTTCAAAGGAAGAGTACCCAGCCACTGGTACAGATATGTGGACGACACCTGGGTCAAAATCAAGACACAAGAAGTGGAATCCTTCACTGCGCACATTAACGCTGTGGATAAAAACATCAAGTTCACCAGGGAAGACACAAAGGACGACTGTTTGCCTTTCCTGGACTGCGCTGTACACATTGAAGAGAACGGCAAACTCAACATCGAAGTTTACCGGAAGCCCACACACACGGACCAGTACCTCCTCTTTGACTCCCATCACCCTCTGGAACACAAACTTGGAGTAATCAGGACCCTACACCACCGGGCAGAACATGTTCCCTCTAAGCCTGAAGGAAAAAGAAGGAACACACACATGTAAAGGAAGCACTCAAAACGTGCGGCTATCCTAAATGGGCGTTCTTAAAGTCAGCAAAGAGGCACAGAAAAGAAGACCAGACACCAGCGAGGGAGGATAAGAAGGACAGACGCAACAACATTGTCATCCCCTATGTAGCCGGTGTATCAGAGAAACTCAGGTGAGTTTTCTCCAAGCACAACATCCCAGTGCATTTCAGACCCAGCAACACGCTCAGAGAGAAACTGGTTCACCTGAAAGACAAAACGGCAAAACACAGACTTAACAATGTGGTGTATGCTGTACAGTGCAGCGAGGAATGCCCAGACCTCTACATTGGAGAGACCAAACAACCACTTCACAAGCGCATGGCACAACACAGAAGAGCCACCTCCACAGGACAAGACTCAGCAGTCCATCTGCATCTTAAGGATAAAGGACACTCTTTCGAGGATGCCAATGTTCACATTTTGGACAGAGAGGACAGATGGTTTGAAAGAGGAGTGAAAGAAGCATCTATGTCCACTGTGAGCAACCATCTTTGAACAGAGGCGGGGTTTACGACACCAACTCTCTGCCATCTATAATCCAGTTTTGAGATCCCTTCCCAGACGCCTTAACGCCCACTCACATCCTGGGCCATCTGACCTCAGGACATCACATGATAAGGTGGGGCCAGGTTTCACAATGAACTCACCCGAAACTCTGGCTGATTGGGACCCACACCCAGTTTCACACCTTGGCTCAAGCGATTAGAGGATCATCAGGGGGTCCTTTGTCCCTCTGTGGGGGGAAACTCCCACTAGGTTTATATCTGGGACTCCCCAACATTTGACCTTAGAACTGAAGAAGCTTCTCAGATGAGAGGTGAAACGTCCTCCAGGGCTCTGACGAGTGTTCGTGTTTTAAACTGAAGCTGTTGATCAGTCAATTACGTCGTCCTCAGCAGCACCGTCACACTGATTGACAGCTGTGTTTCTGATCCACAGCTCAGGTGTGTTTTGACTTAAGGCGGAGTATTAGGTGGCCCTCCTGAAACTCATCTCCACACCTGAGTTACAGCGGTTGTTACGCCTCGGGACGCCACTTGCCCGATCATGACCATAAAAACTGCCAGAGGACAACGTGTGCGGAGCCTGAGGCTGATCCAGGTGAGCTGATATTCAGGAAGAGAGCATTTTACAAACATGAGTATTATTAGTTTTTGATCCCTCACATCTGAAGTCTGAATAACCAATCAGTGATCCGAGGACGCGATCCTCAGAGGGACTCATTCAGCTTCAAGCTCCACCCTTATTTTATTTTCTTGAAAACTTTTCCGACCCTCTAACTCTCCTCAGTTATTAACTGGTCTGTTAACACCCCCCGTCTCCGTGGAGCAGCTGCTTCATCAGCTCTCTGTGAAATCAAACGCACCTCTGCTGTGACTCCACCTCCCGAGGGACGCATTAACTTCACCCAATTTACTCGTTTAATTAAACATGGAGCGTCTGGCTGACAGTAACAAGAGGAGGAGCAGGGAGGGAAGAAAAGGAGTAATCAAGGAGGACAAAGAAGAGGGGAGCAAAAAAGAAACGAGGAGGAAGTGGGGGAGATTGAAGAAGAGCAAAGGGACGGTTGATAAAACGAGAGAAAGGAAACTGGAATAAGAAGTACAGAAGAAGAAGTCTCTGTGATGACATTGCCGCCTGTCCGTAAACACCCTGCGATGAAGATGATTGATTGGTTTGACCGTAGAGTGATGTCCTCCCTCTGCCCTGCTGACACTGTCCTGTGATGTCAGACCTCCATGCTGTCAGCTTTGGGTGACCCGGAAATCCACAGATTTGATTGGTCGCCAGGCGTCTTGGTTCGGGAATCACTAGGTGGAGAGAGAGATATGTTGACATCGTCACTAGAACGGCTGCTGTCATGGAAAGAGTCGAGTGAAAGTCACATATTAACCATCTCAAACTGCAGGAAAGCAAAGAGGAGCCAAAGGTTCAGTCTGACCGACACAGACAGCAACCACCATCAGGAACTGATCAATGACTCTGATCAATGATTCTGATCAGTTACTCTGATCAGTGACCAGTGTTGGGTGTAACAAGAATAATATTACATGTCACAGCTGCACAGACAGCATGTGCTAACGCTAAGCTAACCAGACAGCAGGGGCGTCCAAATTGATGGGCTGCATCCTCCTGAGGCCGCATTTGTAGGCCGATTATGTCACAGCGACCCGACGAAGGATATCCAGATTCGTAAATGCGTCCTCCTTTTCCCCAGATTTGAAGGATGGGTCGAGTGTGTCCCTCGTGGCCCATCATATCCCAGAATTCAGCCAATTCCAGTTTACAACAATGGTGGCCGCTACAAAGTTTTAATATTACTCTTATTACTCTTTCTGGGTCACAAAATAAACTTTTAACATATTTTTAGGCGAGAATGCAGCTGTGTAAACTTCAAATATCTGCTTGGTTTTGTTCCTGAGTAAATTGGTTTGGCTGAGATTATAGTTTTCACACAGCTTAATAAACGTCAAACAGAAAACTGATTAAACAAAAGTGTGAGACGGTTGAGAATTTACTCCAGTGTCCTGTTATACTTTAGACAGCAAGGAGCAGAGGGATGAGTTTATTAAACTCCAACGAGACAGCGGTGACGCAAGTCTGAAGGCTAGACCATTCAATTTACTTCTGGCTTACCTGACCTCCTGAGGACCTGGCCTTCGCAGTCTGTGTGCGCCGGGTCCTCAGAAGGATGCAGCCTCTGAATTTGGACACAGCTAGCATGTGCTAACGCTAAGCTAGCCAAGAACCCAGACTGATGTTAAAGCTGAGAGTATGCAGACCCCAGTCCAGTAGCCAGAGCCTGAACTTCAACAGGTAACAAGCTGATGAGCAGTCAGGCTGTTTTTCTACTTTTTCATGTTTCTACAGTTTAATCACAATGACAACTGCTTTGTGCTGGTTTCCATCTTTGCTTTGTGTGTGAATGGGTGGATGACTGGATGTGTAAAGCGCTTTGGGGTCCTTAGGGACTAGTAAAGCGCTATATAAATACAGGCCATTTAAAGCGCTATACAAATACAGGCCATTTACCATTTGTGTTCATACATAAGAGCAAAGGTGGAAGATCACATGTGTGTCCTCATTATGGGATGTGTTAATGTGTGTGGGGCTGTAGCCTCAGGTTTATGTTGTTAACTGTAATTATGAGACAGTTTGAAACGTCATTTTCCAGTATAATGACAAAGTAATGTCACGAGTAGTATAATGAATTACTTTATCAGACACGTAATTAAGTACTGCATACTTTTAATGAAGGTAACAAGTAATATGTAATACATTCCACATATCCCGTGTCACTTCACATCATACCTTCCTCCCATTAAAAAGGACTAAAACCTTATTTCAGAATACTCTGCTGCTTCATGTTCTGTGTGTTTGTTTCCATCATATTCATTAAAAGCTGTCCTCAGACAGGCTGACGTCCTCCTGGTTGTAACACACAGCCGTCCCTTTACGTGCTCTAAGTAAAAGCCGGACTTCAGGTGTCATCTCGATCTAGGGCAAAGAATAAAATGCCACACAGTCTCACCTGAAGAGGGAGCTATGCTTACCCTGCTGCAGGGAAAAAGTCAGAAATGTTCAGAATAATCCTTCTTTGTCTGACACTCTGTCTGAAACAAGCTGTTCTAGCTCCTCCCCCTTTAAGCCTACTCTCTAAATAGAAAACATCTGGAAACCTGCCAAGGGGCAGACTCTGGTCATCATGAGCTTTGCAGCATTTACAGATCCACGTTAGAGGCGCGATATTTATCACACCTAATCATCTGCCTTTGACCTCTGACCCCATCAGGCTCCAACACTGAGCTCCATCCCGCAAGCAAACAGCTGCTTTGGTTCAGCTGAAGCCGTGGCAGGACTGGAGTCAGCCAGCGCTGCCTCGCTGCTTCTGATTCGACAGCTTTAAGGAGTGAGTGGTGAGCTCAGTTGACCCAGCTGGGTCGTGGAGGAAAGTGGGAACAGAACCAACGAAAATACACAAGTAAGCAGATTTTTTGCTGCTGTAGACTCCTGAACTGATGCCAGCAACACACACACACGCTGGTCTTTCTATCACTGTGAGGACTGCATCAGAGGACCAAACCTGACTCCTGCCTAAAAGCATCAGGACTCGATATCCCCACCAAACGTCCCCTCAGAGTGAACACCTCCGGCTGCTGTAAATCAGCTTGTTAACAAGTTGACTCATTACAATCATGCAGGAAACGCTGCAGCGGCAGAGGACCGTGATGGGATTCGTAGCTGCTCTGCATGTCTTACCTTCTGCTGAGCATCTGAAAACAGCAGGTGGCAGAAGCCACCAGGATGAGCAGCAGCAGGGGGATGGTGGGGATGACGACGTACAGCAGCAGCATACCTGCAGAGACACCAGACCACCTGAGCATTAGGTCATGAGCCCAGATCAGGTCAAAGGTCGCAGGTCTTCTTACCTGAAGCTCCGGCCATGGTGACCTGAGGTGGAACGTCTTCGTTGTTTGCAGGCTGTGTGGCCACGCCTCCACCTGCAGTCACTGCTATGGACACAAGAACACACCTGTGCCTTAATACAGAGCTGCAGGTGAGTCCCACCTATGGCTCCACCTGCCTCTATGATCTTATATGGACCTTCCTCCTTACCTGTATCCTGCCCACCAGGTGTGTCATTCACCAGATGGCTCTCTGAAAGACAGGAAGTAAAGAACCTGAGTGAGTGAAGCTGATTGGCTGACAACACCAGGGCTGCTTATCTATGATTGAAGCTGACTGGCTGATGGCACCTGGGTTGTATTTGCAGATGAAGTTGTGTTTCATGTTGCACCGGTCGTCGTTCCATTGGTAGAGATAAGCCCCGCCCAGACCAGAAGGCGCAGTTGGCTGATGGTACATGACAACGCAGGCCTCACCTCCACAGGATGGTTCATCGAAGTACCAGTTCCTGTATCATCAGCACAGTTGGTTAAGCCCAACCCACCCCCTTTAGTAAAACATGCCGGGAGTCACCTGACACAGCTCTGACATCACGCTCACCTGAAGGAGGCCACGCTGCCGTCGGTCCACTGGTAGAGCTGCGGACAGGAAGTTAAGGCATTGCTGAGCTCCGACTGAGTCTGATCCACTCCCTCCACCCGAGTCAGGCCGATCCAGAAGTCCCCGTCAGCTATGCCCCCGCCCCCTCCTGCCCTGTCCACCGCACCTGAACGCAGCTCCTGGAAACAAAAACAAGGAGAAAGGGTCACAGAAAAAGGAGGGGAGGGTCTAGAGAGAACCAGGTGTGGGTCTCACCTGCAGCAGGTGCTCGATGTCTCGCTGTTCCGTCGAGCTCTCGATGCTGAGAAGCGCTCCTCTGTCCATCTCGCAGGCCTGACGCGCCTCGCTGAAGGCGACGCGGCTCGACACGTCATGGAAGTACGCCATCTTATAGCAGGGACGCTCGGCCCCGCCCACACACACTGTCTGACCTGAGACATGGAGCCCCGCCCACAGGAAGATGCATCAGAGCAGCACTGAGTGTGTGTGTGTGTGTGTGTGTGTGCGCACAACAGTGTGTTAATCACTGTTGTGCACACACACACACACACACACTTCACTACTTTAAGTGATTAGCTGGAGTGTCTTCTGCACCATCATCACTTTACTGTTAAAGCCACTAAAGAGCTCCATATATATCTGTCTGCTGTCAGCCCGCCCTCCACCCATCCCTCCACCCACTGTTCCTCCACCCGTTCCTGCTGCCTGTGGTTCAGGTATTTTAGCTGCTCCCCTGATAAATCGAACAGATCTCTGAAACATCAGCTGGCCACATGACCCATTACAAACCTGCAAACCTTACACCAGACACACCACCCAGTGGTAGGCCTGCAAATCCCACATCGCCCCTCCTCTGTCCCCTGAACCTTCAGTCTGCACTCTGCTTCACCTCCCATCTTTTTTTTTTAAATTTTTACTAAACCTTGAAAACATCGGCTTCAAGAACGCACATAAGAGTGTGTACGAGCACGCCCGGCTGTGGGCGGCTGCCTCCTATCCCCTCCTCAATCTGTCTGCTGCATCTGTATTCTGACATCTGCAGGAGCTCCAGATGTACACACGAAGCAGTCGTAGTGAGTGTCTACAGAAAATCAGCTAGGACTCAAACAGACAACAAATATGACACAAAGTGAAGTTTATTTTATCGAATCTGTTGAAGGCATCTGAGCTGATGGCCGCGTGTCATCATTGCCATGAAGGCGATGGTTTGAATACTCGCAGTGGTTTGTGTGACTCGATCCTCACTTCGATCAGGTGTCACGTTTCACCCTGACAGAAGAACAAAGCTCTTTCATTTCTCTGATCACAGTCAGATGATGTTTGCACAGGTCAGAAATTCTTTAATGTGATCAAAGCCACAGACACACACACGCACACACGTATACACACACGTATACACACATGCGTACACGTATAAACACACATACATATAAACACACATACACACAGACACGTATACACACATTTATACACACAGGTATGCACACATATACACAGACGTGTACACAGACACACACACCACACACATGTGGCTGTACTTTGGTGGACGAGCATCCCTGTAAGGCTGACAGATTTCAGTGAATGACTCTCTGGGAACACGTCACATATCTCACTACATTAATGGTTCTTTTCACTGGTTTAACTGTATTTCCACTTAAACCAGTGCTGCTGGTTTTCCTTCAGAGTGGAAAACATGAAGTGCAGCAGGATGAGCTGCTGCCTGCGCCGCTGCGAGCTGCAACACTGAGGTTTCTGTAACATGGAAACTTTTCACGCCTCAAAAGAGCCACACTGTTTAAAAAGTAATTGGATTACTGCAGTACTCACCGCTCACCACCCGTGCTGCCTCCACCTGGACCATCCCCATCGCCACAACGACCCCGAGCATCAGTCGGTTAATTATCACGATCCTTGAGCAGGTCATCTTTATTTCTTTAAATATGAAATTAAATCTACAAAATAAAAGTGTTTCTGTGGAGAGCTGTTCCAGAGACGTTTCAAAATAAAAGCCTGCCTCTGGTCAGCGTGCTCCTGGTGCCCATGTTTCCTCTCCTGTCTCTGTACTCTGAAGTGAAGCGGGAGGCAGAGGAGCGCCTGTCTCCTCCTCCTCCATCGATCCTGCCCACTGAGCCACAGCTGTAACCTCCTCCTTCAATAAAGCCCGGGGGACCACACACACACATACACGCACACACACACACACACACACACACACACACACACACACACACACACACACACACACACACACACACACACACACACACACACACACACACGTTTAATTCATTTACTCAGAGCCTCAGCTGATTGGCTCCAACAGAGCAGCTGATCAATAGATGAAATGTGCAGTTATGAGCATCACTTGAGCTCGCCGCTTCCTCCATTGATCCCCGAGCAGGAGGAATTTTCTCTCATTATTCACACAGCAAGCGGCTCCAGTTTCACATTAATGAAAGCTGAACGCAGAATCGGTTTCATTCTGACACACGCCGTGGAAACGCTTCCTGCGTTTTAAACCCCGATCCGTGCACAGATGCTTCCCGTTAAGATGTCTGATTTTAGGTTTCCTTCATCCTGTCAGAGGTCCTGAGATGTTTGTGGGGACATGGATCCCAAACTGCGGACTGGAGCTCCCCCCTTTATCCTCAGTGTCCACACAGCCACTGCAGCAGCCACTGTATGACAGCCGTGGGATGAATGACCCACTCACACTCGACTGTGGTGTCACCCACTGTTTTGACGTCCACCATGGTGGGTTTGTGGAGCATTATCAGTCTGCATTCACAGACTCTGGCTGTATCCCAATCCAGGGTCTGCAGCCTTAAAGGCCACATTTTAAGGCCGGTTAAATCACCGCGACGCGACGAAGGCTGTCCCAATTCAAAGGCTGCTCGAAATGCGGCCCTCAAATGCGTCCTTCATTTCCCTGAATTTTAAGGACGTGGCGGTGTAGACTTCGTGGCCCAACATATCCCAGAATGCATATGTAACATAGTTAAATAGAGTTGAAGTTAAATCCCGCTAAATGGGACATTGGCGCCACCTACTGTCGAAAAAGTCACCCTGCAATATTCACAAAGGGCAAGGGATTCTGGGTAATCCTCAGAATAATGGAGGATTCCTGCGAGGTAAGGAATGCGCAAATGTCGTGGGGAGGAAAAATCATATCGCCGGCTGTTAAAGTAATACAGTCTGACCCGATTATTTCTGTTGTTTATACATCATTTGTTGCGGGTCATTTCTCCAGTCTTTATGTTGAACTGAGTGCACGTTTATGTGAGATTTCTTTATTGTGAGGAGAGGAAACAAAATGGGAGCATAGTTAGCTAACTCTGTTGTTGCTTTCCCGTTTAGATTTTGTGCTGATTGCCCACGACATTAAAAAGAGAGCATTCTAACCATTGCCTTTTTGTTGTGAATGCAGACCAGAGAAGACACTACACAGAGGTCACACATAGCAGCGCGGTGGGTGTGGATAATTTTGCTGAAAAAAACCGGCGGATGAGGGGCGGCCGAAGAGTAAACTTTAAGTAAGTACTGAATATTATGTCACTTATTTATGTGCAAATGTTTAATAACGAAGAACATTAAAACATTACTGTTGGCCAAAGTTATGTGACATTAGTGACGTTTGTGCTAACTTGGTTTAAAGCCTTTACTTTAAAATATACGCCGTTCAATAGCTGAGCTTAATCAGAGAATGATCAAAGTTCATGTAGAAACAAACAAACACATGAACAAAAGATTTTCTCCTTCATTTCTGTCAAACAAAGCTGTATGAAACGTTTCCAGCTGTTAGTATCATTGTTGCTAGGCAACCTGGGCAGCGCAACGAAGGCTAGACCGTCCCATTTCACAAGCCTCGCACTTCCGGCCTTAGCGGTCTTTAAGTACGCGGCCCTTATGGACCGTTAAGGCTGCAGACCCTGAATTGGGATACAGCCACAGTTACCTGCTAATCAGAGCTGAGCAGAGCTGGAGCTCCACCTTCCTGTACGCTCTGTTCCTACAGTGACCACACAGCAGCATGTTATTGGTCACATGATGTCATTAAAATGCTCCAACAGCACAAACATGATGCAGAGGTCCAGTTCAGGTGAAGCTAGCACACAGTTAGCAGCTACAGCCACCTGAGTCACCATCCACCTGTCAGCCACAGAGGCCACGCCTCTAATAATGCAAACAGGTGAGTTATAAAATCACCTGGTACAGTCTGCATCTCATGCTGTAGATATTTGTCTGTGGGACTGACTCACTGCTGCCTCTGCTGGACGTCACAGGAAGTGCTAATTGTTCATCATCACCACCATCACCATCATCACCGCCATCATCATCACCACCATCACCATCAACATCATCACCACCATCATCATTACATCGTCACTATCATCATCGTCACCATCAACCGCACCATCACTATCACCACGATCACATCATCATCATCACCACTATCATCACCACCGTCACCATTATCATCATCATCATCATCACCATCATCATCGTCACTATCATCATCATCACCACCGTCACCATCACAACCTCACCATCATCATCACCACTATCATCACCACCGTCACCATCATCATCATCACCATCATCATCGTCACCATCATCATCTTCATCACCACCGTCATCATCATCATCATCATCCGCACCATCACCATCATCATCACCATCATCATCATTATCACCATCACATCGTCACCATCATCATCATCACCACCGTCACCATCATCATCATCATCATTATCACCATCACATCGTCACCAACATCATCACCACTATCATCACCACCGTCACCATCATCATCGTCACCATCATCATCATCACATCATCATCGTCACCATCATCTGCACCATCATCACCATCATCCGCTCCATCGCCATCATCATCACCACTATCATCACCACCGTCACCATCACATCGTCACCATCATCATCATCACCATCATCCACACCATCACCATCGTCACCAACATCATCACCACTATCATCACCACCGTCACCATCATCATCGTCACCATCATCATCATCATCATCATCACATCATCATCGTCACCATCATCTGCACCATCACCATCATCCGCTCCATCGCCATCACATCGTCACCAACATCATCACCACTATCATCACCACCGTCACCATCATCATCATCACCACCGTCACCATCATCATCGTCACCATCACATCGTCACCATCATCATCATCACCACTATCATCACCACCGTCACCATCATCATCGTCACCATCACATCGTCACCATCATCATCATCACCACTATCATCACCACCGTCACCATCATCATCGTCACCATCACATCGTCACCATCATCATCATCACCACTATCATCACCATCGTCACCATCACATCGTCACCATCATCATCATCACCACTATCATCACCACCGGCACCATTATCATTGTCACCATCACATCGTCACCATCATCATCATCACCACTATCATCACCACCTTCACCATCATCATCGTCACCATCACATCGTCACCATCATCATCATCACCACTATCATCACCACCTTCACCATCACCATCGTCACCATCACATCGTCACCATCATCATCATCACCACCATCATCACCACCGTCACCATCACATCGTCACCATCATCATCATCACCACTATCATCACCACCGTCACCATTATCATCGTCACCATCACATCGTCACTATCATCATCATCATCATCATCATCACCATCATCCGCACCATCACCATCATCATCATCATTATCACCATCATCATCGTCACCATCATCTGCACCATCACCATCATCCGCTCCATCGCCATCATCATCGTCACCATCACATCGTCACCACTATCATCACCACCGTCACCATTATCATCGTCACCATCACATCGTCACCATCACATCGTCACCATCATCATCACCACCGTCACCATCACATCGTCACCATCATCATCATCACCACTATCATCACCACCGTCACCATTATCATCGTCACCATCACATCGTCACCATCATCATCATCACCACTATCATCACCACCGTCACCATCACATCGTCACCATCATCATCATCACCACTATCATCACCACCGTCACCATTATCATCGTCACCATCACATCGTCACCATCATCATCATCACCACTATCATCACCACCGTCACCATCACATCGTCACCATCATCATCATCACCACTATCATCACCACCGTCACCATTATCATCGTCACCATCACATCGTCACTATCATCATCATCATCACCATCACCATCATCCGCACCATCACCATCATCATCATCATTATCACCATCATCATCGTCACCATCATCTGCACCATCACCATCATCCGCTCCATCGCCATCATCATCACCACCGTCACCATCATCATCGTCACCATCACATCGTCACCACTATCATCACCACCGGCACCATTATCATTGTCACCATCACATCGTCACCATCATCATCATCACCACTATCATCACCACCGTCACCATCACATCGTCACCATCATCATCATCACCACTATCATCACCACCGTCACCATTATCATCGTCACCATCACATCGTCACTATCATCATCATCATCATCATCACCATCATCCGCACCATCACCATCATCATCATCATCATCATTATCACCATCATCATCGTCACCATCATCTGCACCATCACCATCATCCGCTCCATCGCCATCATCATCACCACCGTCACCATCATCATCGTCACCATCACATCGTCACCATCATCATCATTGTTGAGGCAGGTGTTCTCTGGGTGCAGAACATGATCATGTGTTTGATGAGCTCGCATATGATGGACAGAAATCGTTTGAGGACGTGTGCAGTCATATGACAGCAGCACTTTACTCTTCCTCTCACATCAATAGAAGCCTGA